TGTAGACCTGAGTTCAAATCATGACTCCACGTGGCATTTATTGGCATTGTGACCTTTAGCAAGCTGCATAGGGTTGTGGTGCACATTAAATAAAATAACATATAAAGTACCTGGCCCATAGTAGTGTAAAATAGATGTTAGTTTACCTCTATAGATGTAACTGGTTTTAGCTGTTTGTGGCCTCTAAGGAAACATCAAGGGTATTTTTGCTTTTTATTTCTCATCACAATTCTCATAGGTAGAAAAATCTACCAAAAAAGCTGAAAATAATTTGAATTATCTCTTTTTGGTCAGCTCATTTTATGTATGAGGGAAAGGATATTAAGTTAGTAATAGCCCATAAACATCTAAAAGGGTACTCAACCTTACTAGTAGTCAAGGCACAGCAAATTAAGACCATGGTGAGATACATATAACACTAGATTGGCAAAAAAGAAAAAGAAAACATCTGATGATTTTAAGTGTTGGCTAGGATTTAGCACAACTGAAACTCTCACTCCTTCCTGGTGAGAGTATAGATTGGCACAACTACTTTAGGAAATAATTTGTCACTACCTGGTAAACTTGTACCTTTAGTTATTCTGTGACTCTTCATTTCTACTCCTAGGTACCTTAGGTATACCTATATCCCATTGACACCCTTGTGCATGGAGGCCAAAAGACATTTCAAGGAAGTTATAGCAGCATGGTTGATGTCACCAAAAACAGGAACAGTCCAATCTATCTGAGTCGAATGGGTAAACTTTGATATATTCCTATAATGCAGTCTTTTACCCCAGCAAAAAAATGAATGAACTGTAGCTATAGGTAATAAGTGGATGAATCTTATTAGCATAATATTTAGTTTTTAAAAAACATATTGGTGTAAAAATAAAATACAGTGTGTATGTGTGACAAAAAATAAAAAAATAATAAACATATTGGGAAGACTGCATAAATGTAATACAATTTTTAAAGCCCCCAAACAATCAAAACTAAATAATATATTGTTTAACAATATAGACATCATGTAATTTTTTTAATAGTGGAATAAAAAACAATGCAAAGAACCAATATGTAAATTAAAATGAAATTCTAAAAAATATTCAAATAATACAAAATAAGACAGAAAAAGGAGAAACAGAGGTATAAAGGTATAGGGGACAAACAGAAAATAAATGGATTTGGTTCTACCATGTTACTAACTATATCAGTAATTACATTAAATGTTAAGGACTAACCACTACAATTAAAAGGCAAAGATTGTCACAATGGGTAAAATAAAGCAAGATCCAACTACATTCTGTCTATAAAAGACATTCTTTAAGTTATAAAGAGATTGAAAAATATACCTTGCAATCAGTGAGCATAAGTCTGGAATAGCTATGTTAATATTAGATAAAGTAGATTTCAAGATAAAATGTCTTACTAGAAGATAAAGGTATCCTGAAAAATAAGAATCAAGTTAAAGGATTTATATTTCTTTCAAAACTTACTATGAGCTATAGTAATAAAGATATAGTACTGGCATAAAGAATGACAAATAGATCAATGGAACAGAATAAAGAACCCAGAAGTAGACCTCACTTACACTGTCATTTGATTTTTTACATAGAGCCAAGTTATCAAATGGAGAAAGGAAAGTCTTTTCAATAAATGTGCTTGAAAACTTGAAATCGATATGGGGAAAAAAAAGAGCCTCCACCCCATCTCACACCACATACAAATATTTATTCAGGATAGATCATAGACCTTATACATAAAACCATAAAGGTTTTAATAAGAAAATATTATAGAGTATCTTTGTGACTAAAGGGTAGGCAAAGGTTTCTGAAGACATAGAAAACAGTAACTATAGGAGAAAAAAATTTCCAATTAGACTTCAGTTACAACTCTCACACATTGTTGATAAGCATGTAAAGTGGTATAAGCACTTTGGAAGCCCTGGTAATTTTCTCTAAAATTACACGTGCATGTGTTCCATGACCTACAAAAAACCAAAAGCACATGTCCACCAAAAAAACAGCAAAGAATGCTTATGTAAAAGTTTTATTCATAATAGGCAAAAACTCAAACATCCAGGGTATATATATCAATAGGAGATGAATAAACAAACTGTGGTATATTCATACAATGGAATCCTCAGGAATAAAAAGGAATGAACTCCTTTTACATACAACAGCATAGGTGAATCTCAAAAACATTATGCTGAGTGAAAGAAGCCACACACAAAAGAGTACATACTATATGATTCTATTTATGTGAACAGGGAAACCATTTAAATGGAGTCATATGCTATATACTAATTTTTGATGGAAAAAAATTGTGGCGGAAGAAAAGTAAGAACAGTGGCTGCCTCTAGGTTGTGCCAGGTATTAAATGAGAGAAATTTCTGAGCTGATAGAAATGTTGCATTTCTTGGTAAAAGTTTGAGTTACACAGATACATACATTTGTCAAAACTCATTGAATGGTGCACTTAAGATTTGTGCATTTATTTCATTGTATATACATTTTACCTTAAAAGAAAAGAAAGAACTGTAATACCGCATTCTAATTATGTGCATTTAAGGGCAAGTACACTGTAAACTACTTTGAAATGCAACAGAAGAATAAGATGGATTGATCAGTGAGGCAGAAAGATGAATAGAGAAGTGATAACGCAAATATAAAAAAATGTTACTGGTAGAATCCAGATGGTGGATACACATGTTCACTATAAGATGTTTCAGCTTTTCTGTATGTATGAAATTTTTTATAGTAAAATGAAAGCAAGAAAATTATAAACTTAAAATTCAAGATAGTGGGACTTCCCTGGTGGTCCAGTGGTTAAGACTCTGCACTCCCAATGCAGGGGACCCGGGTTCAATCCCTTGTCAGGGAACTAGATCCCGCATGCCACAAGTAAAGATCCTGCATGCCGCAACATAAGATCCCGCACAGGGCAATGAAGATCCCACGTCCTGCAACTAAGACCCGGGGCAGCCAAATAAATAAATAAATAAGGGCTTCCCTGGTGGCGCAGTGTTAGAGAGTCTGCCTGCCGATGCAGGGGACACGGGTTCGTGCCCCGGTCCGGGAAGATCCCACATGCCGCGGAGCGGCTGGGCCCGTGAGCCATGGCCGCTGAGCCTGCACGTCTGGAGCCTGTGCTCCGCAACGGGAGAGGTCACAACAGTGAGAGGCCCACGTGCCACAAAATAAATAAATAAATAAATATTTTTTTTAAAATTCAAGATAGTACTCACATCTTGGGCGAAGGATAAGAATGGGAGATAGGAAATAAGCACACAGGTAAATGCAAAGGTATTGGTACTATTCTAGCTTTTAAGTAGAATGTTGTTCACAGGTATTCATTTTATTATTGTGCCTTATAATTTACATGTATTTTAAATATATCTATTGTCATATAATTTTTCATACAATTAAAAAATGAGAAGAATACATCAGAAGTAGAGATCTATTAACCACTGATAACAATAATGAAGAATAATTTGTTAAATGAGATTCCAGGAAATCATTTCTATTTATTACAATTCCCTTGGGCTCCAAAATCTAACATTTATCTTTGCTTATGAGTCTTCTCATTTTCATTCTTGCAAACTTTCCAGGTTCTGATTATTGACTGTAGAGACGATCGGTTCTTTTCATTTTAGCACCATTCTTTTCACTTCCTAAAGGGCATACTTCTGAACCTAAAACTTCCCCTGTAGGCAGAGTGTAATATACCATGACACCTCCCCTGTCCTCCCTCCGAGGGTAGGATCTTTGCTGTCTTCTTCCCTTTGTGCAAGATAATGGGCATACCTGAAATCAATAATGAAAATGAAATGGGAATAAAAGTTATAGAGCTGGCTGTGGCTGCCCAGGAATGGAGGTAGAATGATGTAGAGGTGAATGGGGATGGTTCCATAAACTCGAAAATGTAGGTGACTTATCGGCAGACGGTACACGTATTGTTTGAGATTGTTTTGCTCCTCCTATTTTTGTGTTTGCCAAATAGGGCAAAAGTGACCAGAGTGCAAATATAAAATGTCAGAGAACAAACTTAAAGAAAAAGTTCGCACCTCACTATCATTAATTATCTCATCTTTTCTCACTTTCCTTCATGTTGCTATTCTTGTCTCCATGAAGATCTGTATAGTATCTTAACATATAATAATTCCTAACCTAGGTTAGGCAGGGGTGAATGATATGCTTTTTCAATGTGTGGGGAGGCAGTATTTTATCAGTTTTAATTCTAGCTTTACTACATGAGTTTTCCTTGAGCAACTTCTTTCCTTTCTGTGAATTTCAGTTTCTGTAAAATATTCATATTTAATTGAGCCTAAATTGCCATAACACCCTCAGTTACTTTATGTGCCACTAAAAAAAATAAATATTGCAATTAAACTATGATTCAATGCTTTTTAGTCACATTGATTGTAAATTTATCCCAATTTATGTGTATGTGTTAGAATCAGTGTAACTAGGGTACCGTCAACCTTCTGAGTTTATAAGGAATAAGTTGGACAATGTACTTAAAGTGTTGAGCAAGGCACCTGGCATGTTATAAATACTCAATAAGTAGTAGCCATTAAGGTAATGGTGACGTGATCATGAGCACTTTGCAAGATGGTGTTCATTGTTTAGGTGGTTCTTTGGGGATCAGAATCATTAATAGACCATCTTGATGAGATTTGTTGGTGAAAGTCAGAATACCCACTCATTTTAATTTTAAGTAACATAACAGTAACATAGCGTCTTCAGTTGGTTTTCAGAGGTAATTCTTTTAATTATGAGCACTTTGTTATTAAAAAAATTTGTAGACTATTGTGAAAGTTTCCTCCAGGAGTAAATTATGTTGATATATATCAACTCCCTGGATTGGTTGAAGTCACTTTTTATGGAGAGAATTTAGTTTAAGTACACGGCATCAATGAGATATTCCTACAAGTAAAGCTTAGTAAAATTACATTGTTGGTATTATGATATGAGACCTCAGATTTTAAAGTTTTTTTTCTCATTTTTCTGTCTATACAGGAGGCAGACAGTGGGGAGGAGGAATGCCGATCACAGCCCAGGAGGTATGTTTGTTCATTACATCCTATAGTATTTCTGTAGTTAGTGTGTTTTCTCTAATTCTTTCTCAGTCTTGTCATATTAGTTGATCCTCGTTTTCCAAGATGCTTAGTTGGTCTCTCAAAATGGAATTACTTTAAGAATTCAGTTACTGGGACTTCCCTGGTGGCACAGTGGTTGAGAATCTGCCTGCCAATGCAGGGGACGTGGGTTTGAGCCCTGGTCCAGGGAGATCCCACATGCCGTGGAGCAACTAAGCCCATGCGCCACAACTACTGAGCCTGCGCTCTAGAGCCTGTGAGCCACAACTACTGAGCCCGTGTGCTGCAACTACTGAAGCCCACGTGCCTAGAGCCGGTGCTCCGCAGCAAGAGAATGCACCACAATGAGAAACCCTCGCACTGCAACGAGGAGTAGCCCCCGCTCACCACAACTAGAGAAAAGCCCATGCCCAGCAACCAAGACCCAATGCAGCCAAAAAAATTAAGAATCCAGTTACTGACTCAGAAAGATTTTAAATGGTAGACTGCATTATGTTGTGCACCTGAAACTAATATAATGTTGTACGTCAGTTATACCTCAGTAAATAAAGTAACTAATTAAGTGGTAGATTTCTCTTTTTTTAATGCAGAAAGGCCAGTATTGGCCCAGCTTTGACCCAAGTCTCTAGAACTGTCTTGGGTAATAAAAAAGCAAATTTTCCTTACCTTTTAGGAAAATGTCAACTAAGGAACATTTCAGCCTTTGGTTTTATACTTATTTTTGTCATTCATTTTGATAGGTCTTGGCAATTTTTACAGATTGGTTAATATTTCACTTCCTCAATACAAAGAATATACTAAGTAACTTACCCAATCTTTTAAAATACAATGAAACTTTTTTTCTCCCTCTCATGGAATAGTGGGCATGTTATAAGGATACCAATACCTGCTGCCATTAAAAGAAAAAAATTATGAGAGACATCTAGGACATATATAATAACATTTCTGTTATCTTCTTTAAAATTTTTTATGGTAGTATTAAAGATTCAATAGTTCAGAATTCACTGAAATCCTTAGAACTTTGAAAGTCTGTAATAGCAATGTCAATGTTGTATGCAACAAACTATATTATATGATATTTTAATTTCTCAAGATTGCATGGAATTCAACTTTCCTGTTATAAACATTATTATACTGTGACACAATAGGGTACATCTTTTGTAAGAAATAAGTGCCTTTTAAAAATATTTGTTTAAATGTCTGTGAAATAAAATGTTTTTTTTTTAATCAACTCCCTCCCACAAGAAATAGTCTTGGTAAGTTCTAGATGGTCATTTAAATGCTACCAAATTTGTGTCCTCTGAACTCAATCACTAGATGATACTGAGAACGGATACAATAAATGTGTTCATTGTGGAGAAGCTGGCTAAAGGGCATGCTTCCTTAATGATAAATTATCGTGTATTTGTTGATATATATATATACCTCGCTTGTGTAAACCACTGCTTAGTATAAAAATAGTTTCCTTTCATCAGTAACTGAGGTTATTGGCAATATTTTTCCTGCCTTATTACAAAAATTTAGGCTTAAAGCTTAATTTCTCACTGTCTCTTAGGGAAGATCTGACAGTGAAGTGTCATTCTTTTGCATAGGACTGCAAGACAGAAACCTAGAAGAAATTTTAGCTCATTGTTTACCAGAGACATCATAACCTTATTCCCATTAGAATGAAAAAGGATTCCAAAGGATTCTTAAATTTTCTGTTAGGCCAGATTTAAAGATCTCTGGGTTAATTTCTTTATGCATTTACTGGGGTAATTGTCCCCCAAAATTACATAATGATGAGGCAATGCAAGTCTATTTTCTTATTCATAGCACTGAATTGTCAAACCATTAAGAACCATAAAAACAGTATATCATTGAAACTAATACCAATTCCAGGTAATAAAAAAAGATGTTGCATTAATCTCTTATTTTAACCAAATGTCATTTATTGGGAAAGTCATAAGTTAAAAGTAATCTTTTAGTATAATTAGCTCAAACTATGCTACCTTTAAAAACCAATGTTCACAGGCAAAAACAAACAAAAATAGATAAATTAGACTGCATCAAAATTTAAAACTTCTGTGCATCAAAGGACACAACAACAGAGTGAAAAGGCAACCCACAGAATGGGAGAAGATATTTGCAAATCATGTAGCTAATAAGGGATTAATATCCAGAATATAAAAAGAACTCTTTTACAACTCAGCAAGAAAAAAACAAACAACCTGTCTTAGTCAGCTTGGGCTCCTATAACAAAATACCATAGATTGAGTGGCTTAAATTTCAGACATTTGTTTCTCACGGTTCTGGAAGCTAGTAGTCCAAGATCAATGTGCTGGCAGATTTGCTTCCTGATGAGAACCCTCTTCCTGGCTTGTAGACAGCTGCTTTCTTGCTGAGTCCTCACATGGTTGTAAGAGAGAGGGTGCTCTGCTCTCTTCCTCTTCTTGAATGTACACTAATCCTATCATGTTGGCCACACCCTCATGACATCATCTAACCCTAATTTCCTCCCAAAGGTTCCCATCTCCAAATATCATCACATTGGAGGTTGACTTCAGCATACAGACTTGGGGGGCACATAAACATTTAGTCCATAACATTACACCCATGCCCCCCAAAATTCATCTCCTTCTCACATACAAAATATATTCATCACATCCCAACAGCCCCAAAGGTCTTAACTCATTCTAGCATCAACTCTAAAGTCCAAAGTCTTATCTAAATATCATCTAAATGGGCTTCCCTGGTGGTGCAGTAGTTGAGAGTCCGCCTGCCGATGCAGGGGACACAGGTTCGTGCCCGTGTCCCGGTCCAGGAAGATCCCACATGCCGTGGAGCGGGTGGGCCCGTGAGCCATGGCCGCTGAGCCTGTGAGTCCAGAGCCTGTGCGTCCGGAGCCTGTGCTCCGCAACGGGAGAGGCCACAACAGTGAGAGGCCCACGTACCGCAAAAAAAAAAAAAAAAAATCCTTAAATATCATCTAAATAAGATATGGGTGAGACTTGCGGCAAAATTCCTCTCCAGCTATGAACCTGTGGAATCAGATTAATTATACACTTTAAAATACAATGGTAGGACAGGCATAGGCTAGACATTCCCATTCCAAAAGGGAGAAATAGAAAGGAAAGAAAAGATGACAGGGCCCAAGTAAGTCCAAAACTTACTGAGACAAATCCCATTAGATCTGAAGGCTCAAGAATAATCCTCTTTGGTTTGATATTGTGCCTTCTAAACCCAGTGGGGAAGTAGTCCTGCCTTCAGGACTCACTGGAGTGGTGGTGTCATCTCCAGGGATCACCTGAGCAGCCCTGCACTTCTGGCTCCCTTGGATTACCACCCATGCAGTGTTCGGCAAGGGCCCACCTACCTGGCACCTTTGAAACTGACGTGGAGGCAGCCTTGCCTGTCAGCCCTCGCACTCTCTGCATGTGGTGGGAGTAGCAACCTTGACGATCTCTGAATCTTTTGGGGGTACTCTTCCCTTTTCTTGGAGAATGTTCATGTTCACAACCTCCCTTCATTCTGTCTCATTTTCTGTTTCTGATCTTCAGTGAGATTCCATGGATGTTACAATGATGGAAGAATTGGCTGCTCTTTACAAAAAAAAAGAGTAATCTAGTAACAAGCACACTAAAATTAAGAATTCAAAGGTAATGAATTGAGAGTGAATATTGCTAGAAACCAAAATTAGTAAGTTAGAAACTAAACTTCACAGAATTAAAAAGTGAAAGTTAAAACACGTTTTAACCATTGTGTTAGCAAAGATTTAGATTATTAGTATCCAAAAAAATAGCATTTTCTGCCTTATAAATTGGTACAACCTTTTTAGAGTGTAAATTAGCAGTATCAATTAAAATTCAAAATATTCTGGATTTGGACCCAGAACTTCCACTTTTAGAAGTTAATCCAGAACAAAGAGATGGACCCAAGAGTATTTGTTGCAACATTTTTTTAAACTTGGAAACATCCCAAATGTTGATTAATAAAGAAATAACTAACCAGTATTTCTATCGTGTATAGTACTCAAAATGTTTAATAAATGTTAATGTGTGGGAAAAAATTAGAAATTACCATATGATCCAGCAATTCCCTTTCTGAGTATATACTCAAAATAACTAAAAGCAGGGTCTTGAGAAATTTGTGCACCCATGTTCATAGCAATGTTATTAGCCAAAGGGTAGAAGAAACCCAAGTATCCATAGACAGATAAATGGATAAACAAAATGTAATATATACATATAATGGAGTATTATTCAGGCTTAAAAAAGTAGGAAATCCTGCAATTTATGATGAACCTTGAGGACATTATGCTAAGTGAAAAAAGGCAGTCCCAGAAGGATTACATATTGTATAATTCCACTTATATAAGGTATCTACTGTAGTCGGATTCTCAGAGATGGGAAGTAGAATGTTGGTTGCCAGGGGATAGGGGAGGATGGATAGGGAGCTATTTAATGGGTACAGAATTTCATTTTTAGAAGAGAAAAAAGTTCTAGAGATGGATAGTAGTGATAATTGAACAACGAACAACAGTGAATTACTTCATGCCTTGTACACTTAAAAACAGTTATTTAAGAGGGCAAATTTTATGTTATATATATTTTACTATAATTAAAAAACAAATGATCTACTCATGTCACACCAGCTCCTTTTTATGATATCTAATTCTGGCGCTGCTTTGTTGTTCCCAGGAGTTAAGCATTAAAAAAAATCATAATTGTTGGGCTTCCCTGGTGGCGCAGTGGTTGAGAGTCCGCCTGCTGATGCAGGGGTCACGGGTTCGTGCCCCGATCCAGGAAGATCCCACATGACGCGGAGCGGCTGGGCCCGTGAGCCATGGCCGCTGAGCCTGCGCGTCCGGAGCACAGGCTTCACAACGGGAGAGGCCACAACAGTGGGAGGCCCTTGTACCGCAAAACAAAAACAAAAACGTAATTGTAGAACTAAAAATCAGGTTGTGTATTATTACCTTTTTG